TTCGGTGGCGCGAGTCATATATAAACTACGATTGTTTATGTTGCATACTCTGCAGAAGTTTGTTGCCTCGGGGATGCAAGTGTCGAGTACTGTGCAAGGGTTTATGGCATCGGGCGCGCGAGCATCGTTTAATTTGCGATGGTTTGTGTTCTCGGGGACGCAAATACCGTGTAATCTTAAGATGTTTATGGCCCTGGGGGCGCGAGTGTTGTATAAGTTTGAAAGGTTTCTGGCTTCGGGGGCGCGAATCTTATATAATGCGCAAAGGTTTAAGGCTTCGGGGGGCGCGACCATTCCGTAATTTACGAAAGGTTTGTGGCCTCGGGAACGCAGCTGTAGCGTAACCTACAAGGGTGTATGGCTTCGGGAGCGCGAATATTGAGTAACTTATGATTGTTTATGGATTCGGGGACGCGATTATCGCGTACTTCAGTAGGGCTTATGGCCTCGAGGACGCAACTCTTGCGCAGTTGACGAGGTTGCATGACTTCGGGAGCGCGAATATTGTATAGGGCTTATGGCTTCGAGGGCGCGCGCGTTGTATATGTTGGGAGGGTTTATAGCTTCGGGGGCACGAATTCTACACAATTTAAAGCAGTGCATGGCGTCGGACACGCAAACGTTCCGTACCTTACGAGGCTTTATGGCTGGGGGTCGAAACGGATGGTAACTCGCAGAAAACTACGGCATCGGGGACGCGATTATTGCGTAATATGTAGAACAGTTTCTGGCTTCGGGGGCGCGATTATTGTATATGTTGCGAGGGTTTGTTGCCTCGGGGGCGCATGATATAAGAACGTGTATGGCTTCGGAGACGCGAGCTTTATGTTAGTTATAAGGGTTTGTGGCCTCGGGGACGCACACATCAAGTAAGTTTCAGCGGAATATGGTTTCGGGGACGCGGGTGCGGTATATTTTGCAATGGTTTATTGTTTCTGGGGCGCGAATGCCGCATGCACTAGCAGGGAATATGAATTCGGGGACGCGAACACCACGTATTTTTACGTGCCCCACACCCCCCTCAGGAATTCAAGCAAAGGACGGGGTGTGGAAAACATAGCCTGGCGACGGACCCAACCATATGCAAGAGTGAGAACCGCAGGGGTGCGCCAAAATGTGGTGGGGCCGCCATGCGAACCCTGCCAGCCTTCGGTGGAGCTCCCTGTGGGGCCACGAACCGTGTGCGGGGTGCGCCAAAATGGCGCGGGGCCGCTATGCGAACCCTGCCACTGGGGCCTTCGGTGGAGCTCCCTATGGGGCCACGAACCGTGTGCGGGGTGCGCCGCAATGGGACTGGGCCGCCATGCGAACCCTTCAACTGGGGCTCTCAGTTGAGCGCCTTGTGGGGCCATGAACCGTGTGAGCGGTGCGCTAAAATGGGGCGGGGCCGCCATGCGAACCTTGCCCTTGGGGCCTTTGGTGGAGCTCCCCGCAATGGGGTTGGGCCGCCATGCGAACCCTGCCAATGGGGCCTTCGGTGGAGCTCCCTATGGGGATGCGAGCCGTGTGAGGGGTGCGTCAAAATGGCGCGGGGCCGCCATGCGAACCCTGTCACTGGGGCCTTCGGTGGAACTCCCTATGGGCCACGAACCGTGTGATGGGTGCGCCAAAATGTGCCGGGGCCGCCATATGAGCGGCGCGCCAAAAATGAGGCGGGGCCGCCATGTGAACCCTGCAATTTGGGCCTTCGGTGGAGCTCCCTATGGGGCCACGAACCGTGTGAGGGGTGCGCCAAAATGGCGCGTGGCCGCCATGCGAACCCTGCCACTGGGGTCTTCGGTGGAGCTGCCAAATTGGGGCGGGGCCGCCATTTGAGCGGCGCGCCCAAATTGGGCGGGGCCGGCATGCGAACCCTGCCATTGGGGCCTTCGGTGGAGGTCCCTATGGGGCCACGAGCCGTGTGAGGGGTGCGCCCAAATGGGGCGGGGCCGCCATGCAAACCATGTCACTGGGGCCTTCGGTGGAGCTCCCTGTGGGGCCACGAACCGTGTGAGGGGTGCGCCAGAATGGCGCGGGGCCGCCATGTGAGGGGTGCGCCCAAATGGGGCGGGGCCGCCATGCGAACCCTGCCAGTGGGGCCTTCGGTGGAGCTCCCTGTGGGGCCACGAACCGTGTGAGGGGTGCGCCAAAATGGCGCGGGGCCGCCATGCGAACCCTGCCAGTGGGGTCTTCGGTGGAGCTCCTTATGGGGCCACGAACTGTGTGAGGGGTGCGCCAAAATGGCGCGGGGCCGCCATGCGAACCCTGCCACTGGGGTCTTCGGTGGAGGTCCCTATGGGGCCACGAAGCGCTGTTCTGGATGGATGAAACGCAAGGGAGGAAGGAGGAAGGGGAGGGGAGGCAGCGGGAGGAAAAGGACGGAAGGAAAGAGGACGCGGGAGCTGTCTCTTCAAAACGAGGACCCAACACCACAGGATGGTTGTGAATAATTGGTTTCGGCCCCCCCTCGCGCGTTCAGCAACAGTTGACAGTGGGGAAGCAGAAAGCAGGATTGTAACAGTGGAAACTGGAAGCTGCAACTGGAACAGGGAACTGCACTCCTCATCCTCGCAGTCTGGTGGCCCCGCAATGGGGCCAGCGGATATATATATATATACATATATTCATAGATGTATATATATACATATTATATACACACATATATACATGCCGTCCTCCACCGGCTTCTCAGCCAGACGTATGTTGCGAGACCACCTCGCATTCGATGCGCCGAGGTGTTGTCTGACTTCTACATGCGCGGTGCAGCAGTTTCCATTGAGCAGGCCGCGGAGCGAAGACGACAGGATGCAGACGAGGTCTCAACGCAGCGCAAGGCAGGGCTAGGCAGATGGAGAGCTGCATTTCCAGCCAGGCCAAAGCTCTCACCCGATGGTCCCCTTATGCCCGCTTGGAGCATATCCCTCCCCCCATGCCTGGCATCGCTCATCGCCTGCTTCGATGCCGATCTCAGGGCGTCCATCAGTTTTTGTGGGCGCATCCCCAAGATTGTCGTTGCTTTTTGGATTGTCGATCGTAGGGGTGGGGATCCATTCGAGGCTTGTTATCGCCTCTTTCCCTCCCTTCTGCCTTCCTCCCATCCGCCACCTGCTCTCGCAGCGCGCACAGCTCCCCTCTTTCGACGGCGGATGGCACGACGCGACGGTGTCTTGCTTGGGGGTCCCAGGTCTACCGAGGCCGCCTTCGGCGGATAGAGGAAACAGTCAGCGCGACGGTGAGGGTATCGGATGTGGATCGAGCGCTCCCCGCTGCTGCTGCTCGTCCTCGCCATCATCCTTCATCCTCCTCCTTCATCTTCCTCTTCATCCTCCTGCCCACCCTTTCGTGCTCATCCGCGACGTCCTGCTCCTCCTCATCCTCCTCCTTTTTGTCCTCATCCCCTGCCCAATCCTCCTCTTATCCTCCTACCCCTTTTTCTTGTGTGCGCAGCTCCATTTTTCCGATTGCGCATAACAGGGGGTCTTGGTCCGCTGTGAGCCCCGTTGGCAGTAGAGTGTCAGATATGGTGCGAGCACGCCTGGCTTGACAATTACACACTATGAATACTACTTTCTCTCTCTCTCTCTCTCTTTCTCCTCCCCTGCAGTTATCCAGAAGATCTCCCGCTTCTTCCGCGTGTTTTTTCGTACAGGAGTTCAAATGCAGTTTTTTTCAGCGCTTGTTCCAATCCGAAAGGTTCCAGTGTTTGAGCATGGTACTCCCGATGCAGCGTGAGCCTCGTTTTCGGATCGGCGCGTCGCTCCTGTCGTTCAGAATGGCGGTCTCGCCCCAGCGCGGGCAAATTTATCTAAGTCCCCCATCATGTCCCCTCCTCCGCCTCCCTCTGGTCCTCCTGTTCCTCCCGTTTTTTTCACGCCAGTTCCTGCTGCTGCTGTCCGTCTCGCCCCAGTGCGGGCCAGTTTTCGGAATCCGAGTCTTTCATCATCGCTGTCGTCCCCCTCATTTCCCCTCATCTGCCTTCCAGTGGTCCTTCTTCCCTCCCGATCCTTTCGCTTTAGTTCCTGCTGCTGCTGCTCGTTCTCATCCTTTTCGTCCCGCTCGTCCTTCTTCTCACCCGCCCTCTCCCTCCTCCTGTGCACGCATTTCCCCCCTTTCCGATTGCGCACAACACGAAGTGGTCTTTCTCTGTGAGTCGCAGGTCGGTTACGACACGCGTCCGCGGATAGAGAATAATACGTGCTCAGCGCCATGGGCAGGGAGGGGAGGGAGGCATCGGATGTCAGATGAGGCGTGAGCGCACCCAGCTTGTCCCTTCCCGCTCTTCCTCCTCCCGCCAGGTGGCCCACGTTGATAATGGATCCCCGGACCCACCCACGGGTGTTTTGAGGGCAGCTTGCGAGGGAATGCCCGCCGTTGCGCCGAGATCGCCCCAGCAGGCCCCGCCTCCAAACTTTGAACGAGCCTCGATGTCTGGGGCCTCCTGCCCCCTCCTTTCGCATGCCACCCCTGGGAGGGTAAGTTCAGCATCGGCGCCAGATATCCGTCGTCGAGAATCTGCCAGAGCCAGCATCATCTCGCTTAGTTCCGTTCAGTCTTGCCTAATCGAGCTTACTCCTGGGCTTAATCCAGCTTCATGGCCCCCGTAGTCGGGCTCGGTCGCATTGTTCTTTCTCGCGAAGACCTTTCAGAATTTGCCTCCTGACCATCCTCCTTTTGCCTGGGAAGACAAGCAGGTATCGGCACCGCCACTCCCCAGACCTCTTCCAGGTGCGCGGTCGGACCAGGACTTCGAGGCCAATCCGGCCATGGCAAGGAGGGCCCCCCAGGAGGCCAAACGAGGCGCAAACGACGGAAGGGTGGCGGCGTCGCTACCTTTTCGTCCTCTGTCTGCCCCACGTTGTGTATCATTGCTTCAGTTTTGCCTTGTGTGTGTATATGAGTGTGAGTGTGTGTTTGTGCGCTGCTCGAGTCCGAGTCGGAGTCCGAGTCCGAGTCTGCCCCACTTACTGCTCTCCGCCTCGGCCTCGCGAGCGGCTCGGCGGGGCCGGCCGGCGCGGCCGCAGGTCATCAACGCCGCGGCCCAGGCACGGCCGCAGCGCCTCCGTCCTCCATCCAGGGTGGAGCATGCAGGGTCGAGGATCGGTGATCGAGGGTCGGCTATGGAGGACGGAGGGTGGAGGATGAAGGATGGAGGATCGAGCATCGAGCGTCGAGCACCAGAGATCGAGGATGGGGCATGGCGGACGGAGGGCTGAGGATCGAGGGTCGAGGACGGAGGATGGATGCCGGAGGATGGAGGATGCAGGATCGAGGATGGCAGATCGAGGACCGAGGGTCGAATGTCGAGGATCGAGGATCGAGGATGGAAGATGGAGGATGGAGGATCGAGGACCGAGGAACGAGGATGGAGGATCGAGGTTCGAGGATCCATGACTGGGGATGGAGGCTCGAGGTCGGAGGATGGAGGATCGAGCGTCAAGCATCGAGAACAGGTCATGGAGCACGGAAGATGGAGGACGAAGGATGGAGGATGCAGGATCGAGGATGGAGGATCGAGGATCGAGGGTCGAGGACGGACGATGGACGATGGAGGGTCGAGGATCGGGTGCCGAGCATCGAGCATGCAGGAGGAGCAGGAGGAGGAGGAGGAGGAGGATAGAGGATGGAGGATGGAGGATGGACGATGGACGATGGACGATCGAGGATCGAGGATCGAGCATGGAGGATCGAGCATGGAGGATCATGGAGGATGGAGCATGGAGGATGGAGGATGGAGGATCGATGGTCGAGCAGCGAGGCTCGAGGATCGAGCAGCGGGGATCGAGGATGGAGGATCGATAATCGAGGATGGAGGAGGATGGAGGATGGAGGATCGAGCATTGAGCATCGAGCATCGAGCATCGGGTAAGGGCGATAAAGGATGGACGACTGAGGATGGATGGTCGAGGGTCGAGGATGGAGGATGGAGGATGGATGATCGAAGACGGAAGATGGAGGATCGAGGATCAACGATGGAGGATCGAGCATGGAGGCTCGATGATCGAGGAGAGACTATGCAGGACCGAGCATCGAGCATCGAGCATCGAGGATTGAGGATGTAGGATGGAGGACTGAGGATTGAGGATCCAAGATGGATGATGGAGGATGAAGGATCGAGGATCGATGATCGATTAACGATGATCGAGGATCGAGTGTCGAGCATCGAGCATCGAGGATGGAAGACGGAGGATCGAGGACGGAGGACGGAGGATGGAGGATGGAGCATCGAGCATCGAACACAGCGGACGGAGTCTGGAGGATGGAGGATCGAGGATGGAGGATGGAACATGGAGCATGGAGCACAGAGGATGAAGGATGGAGCATCCAGGATGCAGGATGGAGGATGGAGGATCGAGGATCGAAGATGGAGGGTAGATGATGGAGGATCGCGAATCGAGGATCGGGTTCGAGCATGCAGGATCATGGAGGATGGAGGACGGAAAATCGAGGATGGAAGGTGGAGGAGGGAGAATCGAGGACCGAGAACCAAGGATCGAGTTTCGAGGATCGATGATCGAGGGTGGAGGATCGAAGATGGAGGATCAACGACGGATGACCGAGCACAGATGATGGAGAACTGAGGATGGAGGGTCGAGGATGTAGGAGGGAGCATGGAGCATGGAGAATCGACGATGGAGCATCCAGGATGGAGGATCGAGGATGGAGGACGGAGGATTGAGGATGGAGGCATTTTGACAGCGCCTCCCTTCCATCCGCCAAGTCCGCGGCGCTATGGCGAGAACCACATTTCGAAAACCACCTGAGACCCATCTGTGAAATTGCTGCAACAACTGTCCAGACGAATGTGCGCGGCGCTATTGGGAAACACCGTTTTGAGCCCTAGATCGGTGAATGTGTCGCAAACTTTGAAGAGGAATGTGCGCGGCGCTGGGGGCGAGAACACCATTTTGGAAACGATTCCCCGTCCATTCTTGAAACTGCTAAAAACATTCAAGACGAATGTGCGCGACGCTACGGCGAGAGCCACACTGTGAATACCACCCGCTCTCCATCCGTGAAGCTGTAGCGAGTTTAATGCTTCAGGATCATAGGTGGTGGGGAAATCTCGGGTGAAACGCCTGGCCCGCCCTACGGACACGCCTGGAGGTGTGACAAGGACGAGCTTGTCATAAGGAGAATGCAATGGGGTGGAGGTGGTGGAGGAGGAGGAGGAGGACCAGTGTAAACCCAAGAGTCATCAACGATGTTGGAATAGACCTTCTCTCCTAGCTCCCTCTTCAGAGGCCCCTACAAAGGTTCACTTCCAAAGCAGTGTTCTAGAGATTCCAACGCCACGGATCAACCTGACTGTTGCGCCTTGCCGATCCTGAATCGTGCCAGAAAGCCATTCCTGGGACTTCAGCACCGCGAATCAACGTAACCTTTGCACCCTCATGATCCTGAATCTTCCAAAGCGCCATTCCTGGTACGCTGACCATGGGAATCTGTGAAGCTCTTGCAAGTTTTAAAAGCGAATGTGCGCGGCGCTGAGGCGAGAGCCACATTTTGAAAAGGAACCGCCGT